CGTAAATAAGGACCATTAGTTTTTGCTGGTCAGCACTCTTTCGCTCTATATAAAGTCCTTTAATTTACTCAGATAATCCTTGCTGGATACATGTCGCCAATCAACAAGCCTTCATTCGTCTGCTTTTCTACCGATGCGCCCTTCTTTAAATTTCTTGATCATGAACTGTGTTTATTTACTAACTGATGCGTGCGTAGGTGTCATGAGATCTTCCCTCATCATGGCGTCATAAACTCATTTTCATTCCTTGAATGCATTTCAGTCATACCGCTCGATGAAATCGGCTGCACCATCAACGAACAGTGCACGAAAGCCACTCCATCGACAACGTGTGTAGATGGCAAATGCGTCTGTAAACCTAATTCCTCGCTGTACGAAGGACGATGCTGTATGTCCTGCTTTTTAAAAAAAATAAACTTACCCGTTTATCATTAACGACAACCGAAGTTTGATTTGCAGGGGAAAAGTGTCCGTCGGGAACCGTCTCGATCAACAACCGCTGTTCTCGCCCGAGTGCAGCAGCGACAAGACAGATGGTTAAAAGTAAGGTATGTTTCAGTAACAAGCGTTTCTTTACGTGATTGTCAGGTTCTGTCCTACTGGACGCCGGCGACAACCAGGCTTCCACATAAAGAAGGACGCCATCGTAGGAAACAGTTCAGTCGTCAGAGAAGCAACAAAAATCGATGCATCCGAAGCATCTTCAAGCTCAGAATGACATTCTATTTCCTATGTGCTGCCAAACATGCGTAGTTTTATTGTTGTTGCTGCCAAAGGGTGTGCGTGGTATGCTACGTGCACCCACCGCTAGCTTAGAAGTATGCGTGCTGATGTTAATGACTGTAATAAACTGACGCCTGTACGTGCTCTGCGTTTTCTGCTGTCTGACTACCGTACTACCGGTTTCATAAGGCGAAGAAGACTTTCCGGGTTAAGTTCAGTTCATGAGTACACACACTCACAAGCATATGCCTCTACGCATCGACCGTTATTATTATCCTCATGCAAACCTTAATGCAGCATGATCCATTCTTTAGAGATACCACAAGCAATTGAGATTGTTTTCGAAAAATAACCTTTCTGTGCTGCTTGTACATTAGGTATAAGAGGATTAAGGGCGGCAGAAGTTTACAGTACACCCAAGTTCTACATCCAAGGGAGTTGAGATGATTCTTCTAGCGACAATTGTGGCACGGCATGAGGCAAAATCTCTGACCATGGGAATAATCAATCCTGCAAAATTCAAAAGTCCAATTTATATCAGTCCTGGAAGCTTATCTAACCAACGATTTCAAGGCCATCATTGCTGTGGTAAAGGAGATTTCAGAGCGGGTCGCTTTGCATTTCATGCATAAAAATTTTTAAGTATGAAAAAACTGCACGCAACCTTGGCGGCATCAGGAAACATTGGACAAAACACTTTCGTAGTCTTTATTTCACTTCCAGGTGCTTCATCATCCTCAGAAACCACAAAGCGTTTTTCTGCTGATCATCCGGTGATTTACGGCTGAAATGTATGTTCAACATTACCGAAAGATATTTCATGTTGTTAGTTTTCATGGCGGAGAAGCACAGGGCTTAAGAAATTGGCTTCAAATCCTGGAGGTGGTGAGTTCAGTTGCGGCAGAGGAGCGTCATATCTTTTGTATTAATCAACAATTATTAATGAACAATCAAGTTACCACATGCTCCTCTAAGATGCTTTGTAGAGAGTCTGACTCACCTAGAAATCTCAGGTTAAGTCCCAGTCAGGGTCACTCCCCTTCGATCATTTTTCTGAGTTCGATAAATGAGTTCCAGTCTACAAAAATAAGCAAGAGAACTATTCCCTTTGATTGTCACGAAGCTGCTGTCGCTAACCTGAAAACAAATGTCTTAAAAATGAGCCACTTCGCATGGAAGTAGAGATCAGCATGCCATCATCAACTTACTGAAACTAAAGGTGCTACAAACCGCTCCTTCATGAGATTATAAGGCAGAAACTAATACTTGAACGG